ACCGATTCATAGAATAGACTGCGATCGAACAAATATTCCATAATGTCACATAAAATATTCAGCATATCGATAGCTTATCTGCAGCATTTAAGTGTTTTTCGTGCATTTTTGCCCATTCAATGAATTGTTGTAATGAAACATCGCTCATTTTCGTCCATTTCAATGATACTTACTCGGCAAATGAAGATAAAAACAGCAGAGTGAAACATATCAAGCGGTAACATCCTACTGCAAGCAACTCACCTCTTTCCGGATCACTCTATCATTGATCACGTAAATCGGTAACCGAAGTCCTGCTGAAAGAACCGACAAGAAAGAAGCGATATCAGTGGCGACCGTATAAAATTCTCCATACTCCATTAAAGATGCGCCATCGATATACTCCCAAGCAGCAATGAACACGTCAATTATATTCGCTATCAGATAGCACGTCACAACCATTATAAGCATCCGTGTTGCACTTTTTAAGCGCGATTTGAAACGAAACGATTCCATCCTTAAAATAGCGCATCTAAGATGGATCTAAAATCTGACAAATCTTCTCAGAATATTCCTTCATATGTGACCATCATTTTGCTTCGTTAATTTGCACTAATCGCAAGAAATCAATTCAACGACTTCCGGAAATGATAAATGTTGGTTCCTGTCAACAATCACACCGAGAAGTGGAATAAATTCTTTATGGAAATCCCAATGAGCAAAATTGATGTGCAATTTGTAAAATTTTATCGGAGACACTTAAACATGTTCAAATGCGATCGTCAATGTATCCATTCGATCAGCTAGTAAAAGCATCGTTTAAGGTCCCTGACCGACTGACCTTTGCCCATAGACAATACTCAAGAACAACGTTTTTGCCACTCGATTACGCTCAATCGTTTGCAGATTATACACAATTGCTGCATTGCAGTAAGCGAGCGTAAAAAACGGTAGGAAAACGGTTGTCGTTTTACGTGTCCAAAACCTCCAAATCGCATCGTAGTAACGATTCCGAGACAATTTGGTTAATTCCACGCCAATGCTTGCAAATCCACTGCATTCGCTTACGTGGTATATCTGCAAGACACGATCCGTTCGCTCTGGTGACATTCCTCACGCATACCATTGGTGATCAATTTCCGTTGGTGATGAATGTTCAATTCCGCACATTCGCTTCACACAGCTCTCATGTGCCGTTCCGTGAATATAAACATAACAGCTCGACAATACTTTATGTGAAGTAAGACAGTCACCAGTTTAGTCATAAGATTTCATTGAGTATTTCATTAATGTATCAAAAACAATACGTTGTTTCAAAAATATCGCCGCCTATCAGCTTTTTGCATTCCACCAACTCTCTCTCTCTCTTAATGACAATTTTCATGCAGGAAACGATAAAATCAAATAGAAAAGTTCACTTGAATTTCAAAGAAAACTGTTCCACGTAGTAAGACACCAAGGAGGAAGGCTCCAACGCCTATACCTGTCCTGTGACGAGATACATAACCAAGAAGTGAAATGCCTCTGCAACTCCCAATTTCGCATTATTTGGAGAAGAATATTTTTGCAAAAACGAATTACTTTAGGTGAGCTCAGTTTGGCAAGTGACTTATGTAATTAATGCGATTCTGATAGTTGTGAAACTGCTTCCAAGGCTTGTCCAATCCCATCGCTCTTAAACTGCTCAAGGTTCGAAAATTGTTCATCATTCATCATATTTTTAGTGCACTTCAATTAAGATAACTGCTCAAAACTTCATATTCGTTTGCCTTTTTCGCACTGAATCATCTGCTGCCTGCAGAAACTGAATCATATTGCTCACCTGGGACTTGAATGAACCTGCAGATAGCGTTCAATGGCTGCAGCCATGATGAGAAATGATGCGATGCTGATTGTTATGTGCGATACGGTGAACGCAATCCTCAGATAGTTATGCCACAGTTGATAGAGTGCGAATGAGCGGAAATAGTCGGCATAAACCTACAACGGCAACAAACTTCACATGAGTGCAAGAAAACTCCAGCTGTTCCATTGTTGTCACGCTCGTTCCATTAAAGGACATTTTCAGTGCCACTTTAATTCTTACTGAAATTCAACTATAGGCACTGAAATTTCCCCAATTACATCTCATCTACATCTCAAACAAATTCAACGTTGTTGCGGATGCATCAATTAAATTTTAATTCCCATATGTATCAGCCTTGAGTAACGTTGCTCTGCACTAACGATGTTGATTTTGATCATTGATGCTTCAGGGATCATTATCTATGAATGGCTTTCTTTTCAATTTTGTTGGGTAATTTTTTCATTATGAAATTGTAAGCATTGTGTCGGATCACCGAAAACGAATGTTGCAAACGATGTATGCAGATAATACATTTCGCTTCTTTCGAAAAAAAAAGTTATTTCAGTTTTTTCTCAACAGCAAGTTACTCGAATTTTTCGACAAGATGTTGCTCCTGTTTTCTGACCAAAAATCGCAAGCGTTCGATGACTAGTCATTAGAGTTAGGAATAAAAGAAAGAAAAAACATCTGCATTGAAAATGATAGCACGACCGATGGGTTCTTTGTATGATTTAATTCCATTTCGAGTGACACGCAAACAAATGGTTCACGCAGTAAATAGTACAATTACTGGATCATAATTTTTACAAGTGTATAATTGCGAACGATGCCTTGCGTGCTCTTTGCGGTCGATGAAATGAGGTATTTTGCTTTTTATGTGATCAGATCAGCGAACGCACTCAGAAAATGAAATGTTTCTTTGACGTAATCGCGAAATCGTAACTCTACGACATATTTGAGTTTTCACTTGCTGCATATCTGCATCAAATACGTCTCACTCAAGTTTTATTGAAGTCGTTCTTTTAATCCGTAAAATGCAAGCTCGATTTCTGTTAAAAATGAATTCCGTGATACATGGAAGTTTATCATTTATTAAAGCATATATTAAGATGTTCTTTGGCCAGACACGTCTATCACATGTCCATTTGTCAAGTGCGAATTTTCCAAATGAGTTCTAATTTCAATTTGTGCCATCGATGCTTATTTCACCCCAGGCATTTCGACAAAGCCTAATGTGCTCTCTCTCTCTCAAAGAGTTCAGTCAAACGCGGCGATGCATAAACTACAGAAATAGCTCAGCATCAGACTCAAATCATCCTTCTACTATTCCCATTCGTTCAGTGCCAAAGAGTTTACGATCGACAAATACATGAAATTGCTATTACTACTGTTATTGTATTAGCTCTTAATTGAGGTTCTATGAAATTTGCTTGATTAAAACAAAAAATATATGGCGAACAATTATTTTTGTGAGACAAAATCGTTGCCCAGTGGAAAGATTTCGCGATAAGAAACGTTAGTAAGAAGTCGTTATTTTCTTCTCGCTGACTGCCCACTCA